TTTATATTCTTTTTGTACACAAGCTTCTTCTCTTGATCCAACTACAATCTGCCTTGCATTGTGTTACATATGGAGGTCAAGAAAATATACAGTAAAAACTAAATTGTCACTAGAGGTAGTTTACTCTAACATAGAATATATTACATTAGTTTTGGTTCCATGGGTTTGGGTTTGAAAAAAAGGATTTAGGGAAGTGTTAATTCTGCCTGAGTGTTTCATTTCCCAGATAATTTTACATTGGTAAGAATCTGTTTCTATCTTAAAGCACCAGAGTTTGCTTTACTCTATATGTTCTGGTGACACTAGACAGTTGCCTTCATTGTGTTGGTGACCTTACAGCAGTTCCTCATACTGAGCATATGGAACAACAGCAGAATGAAAAACACGAGGAAACCTCCAACAGAACCAGAACCAGCTTAGACAGGCTGGTGGAGCAGAGACAGAAGGGCATAAAAGCACAGATCCAGGTGTTCTTTCTATGAGAGAAAGGTGAAAGATGATTTGAGCTCTGAGACAGTATTGGAGTCCAGAAGATGAATGAGAGCACAGACAGCAGCTGTAAAAGCTCTAAAAAAAGCCTGTTTTTGAGAGAAACAGGGAACCACAGGTGGCATCTATGTGTTCTGCTGGAGACGGTGGCACAACTGAAACATGAACACCAGATGTGAATTAAAACAGAGGTCATTGTTATAGAGCAGTGAAGGGTCAAAGGAATAAAGACACAGACAGCTGAGGAGAAAAACCATCTGAACGTTCTCCCCAGACCAGGCTGGACACTCGGCCCTCCTTGGCTTCCCCAGGGCTGATCCTGAGAGGAAAGAGGTGAGGAAAAGGAACTCAGAAGTAGTTTTGATTACAGAAATCTAAATTCTACAGTACTAAGGTTACAGCTTAAAGGTATAGTAGAGAATTTTCTTTTTTCCGGGTGGATCATCTAAATCAGTGGTCCTCCTAACTGTCAATCATTTTGGTGAATTGTTTACATAAGGCCATCCTACGTGCTCCTCCCCGTTTTCACTTACCAATGGTGAGTCTGACATAGTAGAAAAATTGCAAATCTTTTGGAAAATAAGCCTGTATGAGCGATGCAAACAGCAACTTTTAAAAAGAGAGTGCACGAGGAGAATTTGACTCGTGCACGCTCTAACACATCTTTAAAAGGGTGTTCCCATTCGAGTACAGGGTTGTGCATGTGCATTTGTTTTTTTTTTTAAGTGTAGAGGGCGGGTATTTTCAAAAATTCGCAAAAATACTCCACTATACCTTTAAGGTTTGGAAGTATTAAAAAAGCCTAATCCCTAAAGAGTTTTGTTTAAAAACAAAGATAAAAAATAGAGATATACATAATAGAGAACTGCTACAAATGTACTTTTGATGAGAGTAGCATCCATCATAAATGCATAGGTTTGCATTATCATGTTGCACTGACATTTTTAATCATTATTCTGACTTTTGGGGCGTCCCAGCTGAAATATATGACTGGGAAATATGTTGGTGAAGATTCTCAGTCATCCAGGTCATAGTCATTAGAAAAAAGTCAAAAAACAATTCACTGGACTTTGTTTCCAAGTTTGAAGACGTTTCTCTTCCCATCCAGGAAGCTTTTTCAATTCAAAATGTCAGAAATAGCGTTGAGTTCCAAGTTTTATACAGTAGCCCAACAAATTCTTGTCTGTTTTTTTTAAACAAAAACAGAACATCCAGACGAATGGGTCCACACCTTTGGAATGGGGGTCTTTTTTTAAGCCTGCAATGCTATACTCAACAGGAATAAGACATCCCAGGCTAACAAAAGGAGACAAACGTCCCCCGTTCCCAGGGGTTGACCCGTTCGTCCGTTTCAATTTGCATGTTTTCAAAACAAAAACAAGGCTTTGTTGGGCTGCTGTATAAAACCTCAAACTAAACACTATTTCTGACATTCTGACTTGAAAAGGCTTCCTGGGTGGGAAGAGAACCATCTTCAAACTTGGAAACAAAGTCCAGTGGATTGTTTTTTACTTTTTTTTGGGAGGGGGGATACGACTGAGAAGTTGAAAATTTCATCTCTACCAAAACAGGAAAGTTATGGGCATAATCTATATACCTGCCTGCCATTCTACTTCTATGAACTCACAGCAAAGCTCATGATGCTTGTTAATTTTCATCCAAACTCTAGCTGCAGCGTTTTAGCACAGATAAAACATTTTAACTACATTTTGTCAACGTCTATGTAGTAAAGAACAATAATAGACCATCTTTGATTAGTTTTTCAGTGTCACTCATAGACACAATATTTCTAATGATGGCAGATTTCCTGGGTTAAAAGAGGGAAATCTGTTTGAAATACGGGATTTAAATGACAACTTCTCATCCATGTTTTGCTGGAAATGCTCACTCACCTGATTAGCAATTATTTCTTCTGGAATCGTTGGTAAGAGAGGAAGATTAAAGGTAAATCTATTGCAGAACATCTGCCTTAATTCAATTAATCCTTTCCAGGAGAGGGTTAAGTAAAGCTGCCTTAAAAGACTGATATACTATCAACTAATACTTTTAACTAAGGATAACAATCAAAGGAAACCCCTCCTGATGTAACTCAATCATCATGTGTGATTAGTTCACATCATGCAGCAACTCCCAGTAAGATTTGATCAAATGCTCTCCATAGAAAACTACAGGATCACTAGCAAAGATATCTGAACAAACAGATCTAAAGACAAATGAAATAAATGCTATAGAATGAAAGGCACTGAAATAGAAACAGTATTAATTTTTCCTTTTGGATTAAATTTTTCAACCAGACGTACATGTAGGTTAAAAAACTGATGGGTAGCAACAATTTAACGTTATACTTACAGTTTTAGTATTCAGTAGTAGTATCACTGCAAGCTGCTTTTTACTTTCACTGGAGTAATATTCTAATTAATTATCTCGACTTTTACTGGAGTAAGATTTTAGCTACAGACACATTTTCAGACACTTGATTTAAGTTACAGGCTGACTTCTGGTTTATAAATAAGTTTTTTAAAGAAAAATCGACCTGCTTAACCATTAAAACGGAGGTCGTCAACAGGAGCTCCACAGAAGTACTGCATGGAGGTCACAAAAGTTTTTGTTTATTAGACTTTTTTTTCTATTCCCCCTGCAATTTTTTCCACTACTTGAAATGTCTTTAAATCCACATTAACATGAATTTAACACACTGTAGTAAACAGATAAATGGAGGCAGAAGATGTCTTTCAGTCATCAATGCACACATTAGCGACACACAGGAGCTCTTTCAAGCTGGGCACCGTTTCATTCACAACACCTGTCCCATCAAGCAGGAATCAGAATCTGAACTACTTTAATAATCCCAGGGAGGGATTACTTTCATTACATTACTCCATCTGTAATAGAGTGACTATAGGACCAGTTTAATATAACACAATGTCATACAATATATATAATTAGGGGGTCACCGCTCCATCTCGCCATCAGTTTGGGGGTCCTTAGCCTGGAAAACATTGAAGACATTAAAGTATTAAAGATTAATTACATAATTAAAAGATTATGTAAATTTTGATATTACCTTTGGATGTACTTCACACTTAAAGTAACCACATTGTAAGGATTTATTTATCTGGAAAGCATTAAAGAAACAAAGAGTAAGATGTTAAAGTGGTAAAATCAATTTATTTTAGATTTGAGAAACATCCTAGTGTGCTCAGAACTTTATATTTTGAATGTCTGATAAAATACACCCTGAATATTAAGTTATCTATCCAGTACTTAAGTAGCTTCGTACAAATGGGTTATTTTTTATTCTAACTGGAGCAATTTTTGGTAAGATGATGATCTTTTACTAGTGTAAAATGAAAAGGGAGGAAAAAAAGTAGTAGTAATTCGAGTAGCGCTACTTAAGTTTATTATTGGGACATTTTTACCACCTGTAGCTGCTGTTTATTTAGATCACAAATTCTTCTTTAATAACAGTCAGAGGACAAAAAAAAAAGATTTGCCAAACAAATAAATGATAAACATGCATGCAAATTTACACTAGGCCGTTATATGTTGTTTATAGTTGTAGTTTATCTTTTATGCAGCTTTTATAGCTCTAAAACAAACCCCTATGAATAAAGTGACTGATGCTCTATTGTTTTTTTTTTTTTAAGCGTCTAATATGAGCTGCGCATGCGTTAGAATCTTTGGTCGGCGACCGTTCGTGTGTCAGCTGAGTATGGAGCATACCATTTTAAGAAAGGGGTTTTTCTATTGGTTCCCTAAAGTTCAGCGACAAGCTTTCATTATTATATTCAGAGGTAACGGCAAATATCCGTTATTCTAAATTTTAACACAATTGTTAACTATTTTAGTTAAACAACGCGTGCCTGATAAAAATAGTTCCTCCTTAAACACACCCCTGCCAGCTATGGCCCATTCCAAAAATGGCAGCAGTTCCTATCAGAGCAAAGTGGAACTTTCCTGTTTTTCTCCAGATTTATTCAACTGCCGGGCATCTTTTTCGGTCTACGTTGTTTTTCTTAGTTTAACTAAACATTAGCGGTCCAGCGAGGGTTCAGACAGCCACCTCGGACCGAGTGGCTCGGCTCGGGGTGTCGTGTTCGGTCGGGAGATCACCGGGCTTCCCTCGAAGTTGACGCGGCTCTCCTTTCCACAGCCTCCCCTGACAACAGCCCGCTAAACGCGGAGCATTGAGCCGAGGCTGGATATCGGCGGTAGCTAGCTAGTTAGCATACCGAGCGCAGACAAACAAGCCACCGGCGTCTTCAGTTTTTCCTTTAGCGGGGAGCCTTCAAGGCAGCTCGGAGATCCAGGAGACGTGTCGCGTCACTTGTCAGTGGAAACAGATCTGTGGTGTTAGATGTCAGCAGCAGTCAGAGTCACACCGACTTTATTCTGCTCTTATCATGTAAGGAACTCTTTATTTACACATTTTCTGCTCTGGAGAAAATCTTAATTATATTACTATGGCCTTCAGCCACTTGCCTGTGTATTGTACATACTGTTCTCTGCCGCCTGTTGGCCAGTTATTAATAGAACAAATTGCTATTTGGTTGTTCTCTCTTTATTCTTACTCTATAATTAAATTATTGTTTTATTGTTCCATCTTCAATACAATTTAATTTAATAATTAACTAAGGTGTTATGACGTGTTTTGTCTTTATCAATAAAATGTAATGAATCCAAGCTATACTTGGATACATTAATTATTATTAATTTCTAATGTGCGGCCTCCAAGTGTTCACTTTCTGTTTCCAAGATGTGGTTTAATCCCGTTTTACTTCCTGTATTATTGTTTGACGGACAGTTGTCGTAGCCAATCACATGGAGAAGCTCCAGGATTTGGGCCAATCAGAGCTACAGGAGCTCCTGGACAACCCAGAGAGGGTGGAGTCTATGGCTCTGGAGTCTGATGAGGTAAAAATATAAATAAAGAGCTTTGATTCTTTAGTTTACATTGTTTTGAAACATCTCCAGATAGGGATGTATGTTTGTGACAGTTCAGAAATACTTATGGTAAATTTGTAAAACTGTTTAATGGTTGACTCTTAGATATACTTTGGTAATTAACCGTGAAAAATAGAAATAATCAAAAATAACTTTAAAAAACACGCTTAACGGTTTTGAAGGCAAAATGTAAACATGTAATAATACACTTAATTGAAAAAAAAAGACTGTAATGATAACATTTTCAGGTAAATGCTTTTCTTTGTCTTCAATAAAATCAGAATTAGAGGTTAAATTGTTCACAGAATCCGCACTTTGTTTAAATTGAACTTTTTTGGAGTTAATTGAGTTTTGTATTAATATTCAACCTTTTACTTTTTCTAAAAACTGAGTCATAATGTTAAAAGATGAGGGGAATTCTGGATTTTATTTGGTAGCCCTGACTTCTATTTGATGTTTTCTCATTTTTTCTTTTATATAATTTGGGATTTACTAAAGTGTTGGCAAGAGGGAACATTAAAGCAGGGCTCGGCATGGCATGCATGTACTTGGGTCAATAGAAACCAAACTAGCTAAATTAAGTTTCATCCAGATGCTGATATTCTTTTACATTTCCTTAAAATTTCCAAATGTTTTAGTACTTCTAGAGGGCCATTTGAAGCAGTGGTACATTTCTGGTAAAGCAGCCCTCACTGCTGTGTCAGACCTGCAGACATTCTGTCCTGTTCTATATGCTGTATATTAAATATACTGTTTGGGGCCGAAATAATAATAATAATAATAATATATATATATATATATATATATATATTTTTTTTTTTTTTTTAAAAGATTACTGAGACCTGCATCAACTATTTTAGTAATAGATCTATTGTGACCTGTATTAGGAATAGATTATACAGAGTCTAAAACATTTACTAAAAGAACAAGCTGCTTAGAGCCGGAATTAATCCAAAACTGTACATAATATATATACAGATTTTGCATTAGAGATTGAAAAAAATAAAAAAAATCATCATGTGGGAGCATTTTAGTCTCATTTTGCTCACATCAGGCTAAGAAAAAATAAATAAAGCTCTTTTTAAAAACCTTAAGCTTTCTAACTAATAATTGGCTAACAGATTTATGATTATTGGTGTGATCATTAGTTGCATCCCCAGTTCCCCATTTCTATAAACTTTGCTGTAAACTATGTTCAGTCTTGAGTCCAAGTTTCCTCTAAAATTTCATAGAAGGTTCTTGAAAGATGTGGTTCTGACTGCAACTTGCTGCTCCGGAGGTTTTCCTAAAGACGAGGAGCAGCTCAGCCATGTGAGCGAGGAAGAAACAACTCCTCACTGTGTTGTTGGAATAACAGCTCGTTTATTTGCTGTGACGGGTGGAAACGGTGACTCCGGCTGTCCGGTCAGACCTGGGTGGATGACTGACACTGTCGTTCTCACAGCTTTATGTTTGGAGTCATAAACTGGCCCTGCGGATGGAAACATGTTTTTATAGACAGACAGGGTGGGGGCCTAAACTTGGAGCTTTCAGAGAAGGCTGCAGGTCCCCTGGTTTAAATCCATGAAGCTGCCGCAGTCCCTCAGTCCCTGGATGCTTCCTGGGTGCTGCTTCTTTAGGGAGGGGTCCAATGCAGAATGAATGTTGTGTTTTAGTCACACTTACCTCTGTTTGGGCTTTTCTAAAGGTTAAAATATGGCAGAACACATTTATGATTGTGGAAAATTACTTTCAGAATGAAAAGACAACATCTGGATTGTAGCGTTTTCAGTTTACATTAAGAACCATAGCTTAGCTGTGATGAATCCCTGATACTGAAACAGCCTCCATGTTTGAGGTAGAGAGGAGGTTGGTTCATTAGGAAAACACGCCAACTTGTCCTTTTCCAAAGCCAATGATGTCAGCTGGAGGAGAAAAGATCCACCTTGTTAATTAAATGGAAATAGTGAATCTTTGTGCAGTAGCTGCACAGGCTGCTCATTGTCCAGGTTCTATGATTGTTATAAATATTCTGTCATGTTTTAATGGTGTTTAATGCAGCCCTATGTGGAATAAATCAGCTCTTTGTAGAAGCATCTTTCACCACTCTGACAGATTATTCTTCTGTTTCTAAAAACTGCACTGAGATTGGATTACAGATGCTGAAATATGATGTGAGAGTCTGTAAACAGTGGATTTATTGGGTTGGGCAAAGCCATCTGCATCCTAATCCATGCAGATGGCTTTGATTGAGGGGTTCTGTTCAGGGTCGCTGTCCTGCTGGAAGGTGAACCTTAGTCCCGGTCCTCTGCTGCCTCCGGTTGAGGTTTCTCTCCTATATTTTCCTCCAGCCAGCTCTTGGTTCTCTGACTGTTATAAAGAATAGCAGCCCCACATCATGATGCTCCTGCTCCTATGTTTCACTGGGTGATTTACCAGTATGAGGCAAGACAGCTCAGTTTTGGTCCTATCTATTCAGAATTTAGCTTTTCTTCTCGCCACTTTATGCAAAAGCCCTGAACTCATAAAACTCCTCACTCCTGAGGACCTTTACTGCATCTCCTTTGCGGTTTGAGTATCTGTCGGTTTAATATCTGGGCCTCTGTAGGTTTGCAGGTGTGCCGTCCTCATTCCATCCTCAGATGGGTTGAACAGAAGTCGGGGAGGAATTTAAAGTTTGGGATCATGTCTGTAAAGAACCTCTGAGGCTTTTATAGAGCAGCCTGGTTACTCTAAGAACAGATTATACACAAACTGATTGTGTTTGGATAAATCCTGATGGTAGTTAGTCACTCTGCATTTTTAGTAAAGCTTCCACTTCTCAAATGAATTGAAAAATAATAAAATACTTTGATTTGATTGAGTTTTGGCCCCTAAAATGACGTCACAATACTTATTGAGCTGTCAGATTGTTTTACTTTCTGACTCAGATCAAGATTCAGGAAATTCCTTGAAGCACATTGAAGTGTTTGCTTTTCTTGTTGGACTGAACAGGTTGAGATATGATGAAGACTATAGAACAAAGGAGGAAGTATTGACGCTGCAGGGTGTTTTCTGCCTGACTAAGTGTATGGAATCTCTTTGTATACCTATTTATAAGCACTGATGACAGTGGAGGGAAAACCTGACGTCCCAAAGAGACGAGTCTAGTGCTGCAACTAACGATTAGTTATCTAATTGATTAATCTGTTGATTATTTTATCGGTTAAGCTGTTAATCAGATAGCAGAAGGTTCTTTAAAGCTTTTTTTTTTTTTACAGAATAAAAGCAGGTGAAACTAAAACTTCTCCAATTGAGAAGTTCTGCATAGAGCACATTGACAGACAGAATCTTAAATGCTAAATATTTATATTTTTTCTTCATGCAACCTAAAATTTACGGAGAAAATTTCTCATCTGTAACCTTTGTGTCCTTCCTCAGATTCAGAATATCCAGCTGGAGCGAGAGATGGCGCTGGCCTCCAACCGCAGCCTGGCGGAGCAAAACCTGGACATGAAACCTCGTTTGGAGTCTCTGAAGGAGGCGCTGGTGGCCAGATACTCTCAGCTAGAGGCCGTCAGGGAAACCTACAGACAGCACTGCTCCCAGAGAGGTGGGGGGTCCTATACTTTGAGCAGCCTGCCCTCAGCTTTCTGCTCTTCCTCTGGTCTCTGTCTGATATGCTGCATGTCTCATTATTCTGAACAAACCATCCAGATAACAACCAGTTAGTCCTGTTCCCTGCTGAGGCACGATGCTCTTTGTGTGCCACTGTTTGTCCTTAATGTATCTTGTTTTTCTATCTGTCCACGCAGACGGGATGGTGGGTCAGGTCTCTCCAGAGGCCTTCTTCTCCAGACTACAGACAGAAAGTGAAAAAACCGAGTCTGAGTCCGAGGTCAGTGTTCACCACCTGTCTGACACATGTTTAGCTAAATGCAGATACACCTTTTACTAACATGATGGTAGCTCTAAGCATCAGCTCCTCATCCCATGGCTGGAACACTGTAGATCAGGGGTAACCAATTAAAAATCAGCGGGGTCCAAATAAAGAAAATCATCAATTGGTAAAGGTCCGGAGACATTTTTAATTATAATCTGTTACTTTTAACAGAATTTAACACTGACATAAAATGAAATAATAAAAAATAAATAAATAATAATAATTATAAAAAAAAAAAATAGAAAATTTTTCCATTTTAAAATCTTAAGTGTTTTTGAAGTAGAGAACAACAAACGTTCAGTTTGGTATATAAAAAATTTCTTGATTCACAGATTTTATACAACGCCTTTCATTTGTTCCAACAATTTCCTGACTCACTTTATACATACCGTATTTTCACGACCATAAGGCGCACCGGACTAAAAGG